GTGATCTCCCGGTCGGCCTTCCCGTCCGCGGAGATGGTACGTCCGAAGTACACAAACCGATCCGTCTGCTTGCACGTCTGGCCGACGGCGCTGACCGTGAACGGGCGTTCCTCGATCCCTTTCGGCAGCATGCACATGATCTCCATCTTTAGCTCCGATACCATCAGTCCGAACAGGCCGGCCACGCGCACGATGATCGACATCATCTTCTCGAGACTCTCCGGCGAGCGCGAGACGATGGCCGCGTCGTCAGCGTAGAGCATGGCCCACAAGGCCTCCGCGTCCGTCACCACCGTCGTCTTCTTCCCCGCCGACCTGCCCTTCTTGCCCGTGTACTCCACATGTGTCCCGATCTTGACCATGTCCGCCGTCACCTTGGGGTCCTTGTCGAACTCGGCCACGGCGACCATGAGCATCGCGGCAAAGAACAAGTTGAACAGCAGCGGGGCCAGGTTGCATCCCTGTCGGAGGCCTTGGCCCACGTCGAACCATTCCGAGTACTGCCCGTCGTCCGTTCAGACGCGCGCCCTCATGCCCTCGTGGAAGTAGCAAATGACCGCCAGAATCTTCGGGGGCACGCCGAAGCGCCGGAGCACATCCCACAGTAGGTCTCGGTCTACCGAATCGTATGCCTTGGTGAGATCGACGAAGCACCCGAACACCGCAGTACTCGGCTTCCTCGCGAGCTCATGGAGCCGCTGGATGGCGAACAGCATGTCGAGCGTCGACCGGTGTGGGCGGAAACCGCTCTGTTCCTCCGGGAGGATGCCCTCTCGCTCGCAGTAGTGGCTCAGTCGTGTAGCGACGACCTTAAGCAGCACCTTGCCGGCGTGTGCGACGAGCGAGATGCCCCGGTAGTTGCCGCACTCCATCGTGTCCCCCTTCTTGAACAGCACTTTGATGGTGGCATCCTTCCACTGCTGTGGTACGTCCCCCGTCAGCCACACGTCCACGACAGTGGAGTGGAAGTCGCGGAGGAGACCTTGATCCCTGTCCAGGAAATGCTTGATCAGCTCAGCCGGTAGGTTGTCCGGCCCGACGGCCTTTCTGTTGGCCATTTCCCGTACCGCTTCCTCAACCTCAAGTAGAGATGGGATGTCGTCGAGTGGCACGCACGTGGGCCACCGCTTGACCTTGTCAGCCGCATGCGGGTCGATGGTCGGCGACTTGGTGTTGAGAAGCTTGTGGAACCACCGTGCCCACCGTTGGCGAATAAACGTGGGGTCCCGAAGGACCTTGCCGTCCTCGTCCTTGATGTTGTGAGAGGTGAACGACCTCTTACCTTCGACGTCGATCATCTTCAGGTGCCTGTAGAAACCCGCCTGATCCCCCTCGCGGCTCTTCTTCTCGAGCTGCCGTACATAGCCCTCGAAGAACGTTTCCAGTGCTCTCCACCTCGCGATGCTGCGCTTCTTCCGCGCCGCCTTGAGCATCGCCTTCAGTGTCGCCTCGAAGGCGCTGTTCCTTGAGGCCCCACGCAGTTGCTGCTGGGCCACANGCTTCTTCCGCGCCGCCTTGAGCATCGCCTTCAGGGTCGCCTCGCAGGCGCTGTTCTTTGAGGCCCCGCGCAGTTGCTGCTGGGCCGCCTTAATCTCCTTCGACGCGTCAGAGATCTCGTGCTGCGCTTCGCTCGTGTACCAGCCTCTCTGCCCTCGTGCGCACCTCGCCAGCGGCGCGGTCTCAGCAGCGGCCGACATCACCGTAGCCGTCAGCTCGGCGGCGGTCTCTCCCGTTGGCCGCCTGAGCGCCGTGGGCGGAGGGCGGCTAGAGGCCCTGTTTTGGAAGGCGACCCGTAGGTGTTTGTCCTTCCTCAACCGCTCGAGGTCGATACGGATCCGGCTGCTTCCGCTGTTCCCCCGCACTCGTCGGTTGGGTGCGACACGGGGGGGGAGGCGGACCGTCGTAAGCACGAGGTTGTGGTCAAAGTCGTTGAAGCCGACACGTCTGACGGAGAATTACGCACGAAACGCCGGTCCGTCTGACGCATGAGGATGAAGTCGAGGCCGTACTTCTCCTTTCCCTTGTTGGAGCTGTGGAATGTGTGCTGCACTCCACCTTTCGGTGTCCGGAAGTAGGTGTTGGTCAGAGAGAGTTGGTTGCCTGA